TTCAAGGTGGGGCCGCCCTTCCTCCTGCTAAAACGGCCATTTCCGAACCTTTCTTTCTCACCCCACTCAATAGAGGACTTCTCAATTCTTGCGATTCCCAGCCCCTTTAGCTTATTATAAAAAAAAAACTAAAAAGCGAGGGTTCCACACCTTAGCTCGACAAAATAGGTTTAATGATCTCTTTCTTCGATAGGTCGGTCCAGCGCTTAGCATGGTTATATTCGTAATGTTCCGACTCGCCAGTCATTATGGATCTAATGGCATGGCGAGGCAAAGGGTGGAGGAAGAACTATGAAGCTTCGTAGACTCGCAAAATTACTCCGCTTAGAATGCAAGCAAGGTCGCTTGTTTACTCTCCGTTGACGGCAAGAAAGGAGGCAATAGAAAGACTAGACCATACTAAAGTCAAGAGGCATAAGGGAAGCAACTAGTCGCTTCCAGCCAAGCTTCTATCAGGCCAACCACTACATAAATAAAGAGATCCATATACCAGTAATGAGCGATAGCGAAGCCTAGAAAGGCACAAGGCATGAGCAGAGAAGGGGTTGTGCACCCTCCGCCCCATTTGATTCCAGCAAGTACTCTTGTTGTTGTTGGGGAGTAGGGTTCCAAACCTTGTTCGTCTTTTTATATAATAAGCTCCCATTTCTCTAATAATAAGGTAAGGCTATGAAGCCCTTCCTTCAACAGGTTTTGGCTTGCTCCTTGTATAGGTTGGAGCTATGAAGCTGACCTTATTATTGTTCAAAGGGGAAAGAGCTTTTTTAGCTTGCGACTTTTTTCTCGCTTCCAAGAGGCCAAGGGATTGGATTTCACCTATGATCAGATCTGTGGGCTACCATAGTGACTTTTCTCGTGGTGTTGTTGAAAGCGAATTTGGAAGTATGCCTCGCTTTTCGGAACAACTCCTAACTCACACTATGGTGGAGGAGGTGTCGTGAAGATCTAAGAGTGTGAGCAGTACGAGCTGAAAGGCTCCCATACTGTTTGGAGGGCAGGGGGCATAGATGCCAAACAAACCTAACCCTTATCTATCGTCTAGAAGCAGTCCCTAAGAAAGATTAAGGTTCTCAGGTATCCAATCAATTAATCCCCCAAACCGGGGAAGCTTAAGCAGAAATGAAAGGGTAGAGTGAGGGATAAGGGGAGAAGCCCCTAAATTGAGGGCTTCGCTCGCTCGCTCTAACGCTCGTTTATACGACAGCGTGCATAAGTCCCTTTAGAGATAGGGGTGAGTACTACACGAGCTCGTAAGTCAAGTACGAAACGAGCCTTGTCTACGAACTTTAGAGATAGGGGCGACCTCGTCTTGCTTGCTTTTGGCGAAGCTTCTAGCACTAGATAATCGACATTATTTTATGGTAGGAATACTACTTTTTAGGCTGACCACAATACAAGTCATGAGCGATACCGAAGCCAAGCCATATAAAGGCGAGCAGCCCAACTAGCAATATCAAACGGCCTACTTATAGCCTCTTTGTTAGAATCCATATAAATGAATTAAATTTACCCAACCCATGAGCTTAAGCTTTTGGGTTGAGTGGTGATTTGTTCATTCTTAAGATGGTATCAGAGCCCAAAACGCTCAAACGAGCAACTGGTCCAAAAATGGGATCCGGCTAAGATCGTTGAGCCAAAAGAGCCACGATCTTGAGGGGGCATGTTAAGGATCCCACATTAAAAAGAAAAGAGACCTAACAATGGTTTATAATAAACATGGACTACTCCTCTCGTTGCTAATTGGTTTTGAGATGGAACTCCATGAATATTAATATGGTATCCCCTACAATTGATTTTGAGGTGTAACTCCATAAATATTGATTACCAACATATTGTAATGTATTTCATATATGTTGAACTAAACAAAATTTAAATAGTTGAGAATGAAATTAAAATTCTTAATATATTTTAATGAAAAAATTAAAAAATTAAAAAAAATATTTAGCCCATTTGTATAATTTTTTAATTAACATTTAACAAAAGGTTATATCATTTTCATATGTATTCAAGCGTTTGACATTAATATACTAGATTAATCAATATTTCAGCTATAACTTAAAAATATTAACAAGATTGGCAATCCGAAAAAATATTAACCAAATAACATAATAACAAAAATAATAGTAATAACAAGAATTTCTTAATTTCTACCAAATTTTCAAAAAAATATTTTTTCATTATTTTACTAAAATTTAACCTTCACAACGTTTGAAAATTACAGTTAAACCACTCTTCGATATCCTAACAGGCTACGGCGGCCGACGACAGATTGCAAATCGTCTGAATCCTGAATCGTACAATATTGCTTCCGACGTCTGCAATGGGGGAGACCAGTTCCGATACACTGTCATCGGCGTTCATGGCGGAGTTTCTGAGAAAATCCGGCGGCATCGCCATAATTGATGGCGGTTTTGCCACGGAGCTTGAGCGACACGGCGCCGACCTCAATGATCCTCTTTGGAGCGCCAAATGTCTCCTCACTTCCCCCCACCTTGTTCACAGAGTATATCTTCTCCCACTTGATTCCCAGATTTTGGTTTCTTGTAATTGTGGATTTTTGGGAGGAAATGTTATGTTTAAATGATTATTTAATCTCAATTCTAGTGATCATCTACGTTGTTTAGAAAGATCAATAATAATAATTATTATTATCGTTATTGTTATTATAAGTTGGCTTATCTGTTAACCTTACTTTAGGATTTGGCTTTTAACTAATTAAATGATTGATTATGAGTCTCGTTGGTGGATGAAGCTTTTTCTGCTGATATTTTATGTTCTATGCTCTTATAAGAAATTGGGCTAAAAGCCCTCTACAAGTGCTTGCTCGTCGAGCATTTTTATAGTGCTTTTGACTTTTTTCAAAAACTCTTTTATGTTACTCTTAAACATGACTAAAAGCATTCCTAAACATAGCCTTTATTGCATTCATTGTTGTATGGGGCAAGATTAGGAATGAAGTAACAGGGCAAATGACAGAGGTCTTTTTTTTCTTCTTTTTGTGGCTTTCAGATGTTTGTTACTTTGCCTACTTTATAAAAATACATTAATCATTTTCTATGATGTCGTTTGTCAATAAGAATCTTTCTTTTTTATTGTAGTTTTCTGATTTATGTTACTTTTTGCCTACTTTATAAAAATATATCCATCATCTTCTATTATGTCATTTGTGAGCAAGAACCTTTAGAAGTGGGATAAAAAGCTCTTATGAGGTGCGACTTTGATGAAAAAGTACAAAATGATTAATGAAAATGCACTCAAGTAAAACTGTAAAATAATGTCGTAACACTTACAAATTATGATAAACAAGGTTCAAAGGAATTTTATGTTTATTGTTTCTTTGGTGTTGTGTGGAGCAGGTGCATATGGATTACCTAGAAGCAGGGGCAGATATTATCATCACAGCATCGTATCAAGTATCTCTCCATACTAAATTTCTAATGATGTTCATATCATAGAAAAATTCAGACCAAGTATGATTGTTTATCCACAGGCCACCATCCAGGGATTTGAGTCCAAGGGATTTTCAAGAAATGAAAGTGAATCCTTGTTAAGAAAGAGCGTCGAGATTGCCTGTGCGGCACGGGATAATTATTATGTCAGATGTAATACAAGTACTTCTGATGAGGCTGGAGATGGTAAAATTTTTAAAAAACGTCAAATACTTATAGCAGCTTCTGTGGGTAGCTATGGAGCATATTTGGCTGATGGATCTGAGTATAGGTAAGTTTACTTGGTTTTCCGTTTTCGTTTTATTCAGGGAATCGTCAAGAGGGCTTTCACATCTATATCCTATTTATGAAGTTTGACTTGGATTTTCCAACTATAAAGTGGGTTTTTTGGCTAAATATATGTAAAGTTTCTAATGTTTTGATGTTTTTTCAATTTAGTCCCTATGGTTTAAAAGTTTCAATTTAGTGTCTTACGTTTAAAGTTTTTTCAATTATATCCTTCTCGTTTGACGAATGTAAAATTAGTTGATGATAAACTTACATGATATTATATTTAGCGAATTGGGAGGAGAAGTTAATCTACTTAAGATGAAAGCTTCTGATTCTTCTTCCAAATTTCCAAGAAGGTGATATAAATTTGGACTTTTCTTATTTTAGATGACCTAATTTCGGTCACCTTGCTAAATATTTTGCCACATCAATTTATCATCAACCAATTTTAACAACCACTAGTGGGAAGAGTATAATTGAAAATTATTAAAACATAAAGGACCAAATTGAACATTTTTAAACAGTACGTACTAAAGTGAAAAAACACCAAAACATTAGGTACTAAAACATATACTTAACCTTTCTCTTGTATATCTTTCTGGCCCACCATTACAAGTGCTAAAATTTCTGTCCAGTTTCAAGTCTAAAAGTGATTCCATGTTCTTTTTGTTTCTGCCCTTCGCAGTGGTGATTATGGTGACAGTATTACATTAGAAGTTCTGAAAGAATTCCATCGGAGAAGGGTTCAAGTGCTTGCAGAATCAGGGGCTGACCTGATTGCATTTGAAACCGTTCCAAATAAACTTGAAGCTAAGGTATTTGATCCTAATATATTGAAATTAATGAGTACTTCTTTTTAATAGCAGTGTATTTTAGACTTATATATGTCATATATGGAACCCATTTTATTGAAATTGTAAATCTTTTTAGGTTAAATGAGAAGTTCAGTTTAGAGTTGTGACTAATAAGTCTTTTTAACTTTAAAAAGTATCTAATAGTCTCGAAATTTTCAATTTTATGTCTTATATATTCCTGAACTTTCAATTTTGTATGTTGCTGAACTATTAAATAATTTTGTGTTTAATAGGTCCATAACTTATTCAACATTTACATAAGTGATTGTTTTTGGTTTTTTGCCTCTCTGGTTTCTGGTACGATGATCACTTTACTGTGTATCTAATTGTTGATTACTGTGTAAAGTGTGCTTTAACAATTAATTTGGTCATTCATGCTATGTGTTCAGGCATATGCAGAACTGTTGCAGGAAGAAAATATAAGAATTCCTGCATGGTTTTCTTTCAACTCTAAGGATGGTATCCATGTGGTTAGTGGCGATTCTTATTCTGAATGCGTATTGATTGCTGAATCATGCAGAAACACTGTGGCAGTTGGAATCAACTGTACACCACCCAGGTTTATTCATGGTCTAATATCTTCTATTAAGAAGGTAAGATATTCTGTTGATGTTATTTAACAATCTAAATTAAACAGATGCACTTCTCTCGAAGTTTAGCACCCTTTATTTTATTTTATTTATTATTATTTTTTTTTGAAAAAAACGAAGTTTAGCACTTGAGTATACTGTTCTTTCATTTATCTGTATAAGTTTGTTACAGGGATATATTTTTCTGGTTTAAACTCATGGTTTCAGGTTTGTTCCATTATCGTCCTTGAACTTTCAAAATATTATTTTATTCCTTAAATTTAAAAAAAATAAAATTTTGGTCCATGAACATTGGTAATGTCTATTTTAGTTCCTAAACTTTTAGAAAATAACTATTTTGGTTCTCACTATATTATTTTGCCACCCAAGATTTGATTACCATATACTCGCTTTCAACTCATGTGATTTGAGTACATGTGTATATTAACATGGTAGTACACATGCATGCTCGAACCCCATTATCAATATCTTAAGAACAAAATAAAGATGAATAAAGATAAGTACCAAAATGATTTTTTTTTTTATTTCTAGGATTAAAATAGATATTTTAAAAGTTCGACCAAAATAGTACGAACTTGGAAGTTTAAAAGCCACAACGGATCTTTCAAGGACTAACATAGAATAATGTTGAAAGTTTAAGTTCCAAAATAGGATTAAAACCTATTTTCTTTTATCGTCTTTGGTAATAATCTCTATATAAAATTAAAAGAAAATAATTTTCCTATTTTTTCCCTTACTGCTTAGTGCTTACATGTTCATTTGAGCCCATGTACTTTCTTCTCCATTCTGCCCAGTTGCTCTGTTAGTTTCTTGAATTTTTCTTGTTCTCCACTTGAGATAAAAAAAAATAAGTGCATTGGTTTGTTTCTTTTATCTACCAATCTTATCATGTGTGCCATTTCTTATTTTTTGAATGGATACATCCTTAAATCCTTTCCTAGCAATACAGTAGTGGAAAATGAATCCTTTCTAATGAACCAGGTCACTACAAAGCCTATAGTGATATATCCAAATAGCGGTGAAAGTTATGATGCTGATCTTAAGGAATGGGTGGTAAGTTCATTTTGTAACTATCTTTGTCTCTTATTTTCAGACATTTCTTTGGTCGAAATGAATGTATTCTTCTATTCGCTTTCCAAACATTTTTTTAAGAAACAGGTAAGTGAAAATGTATGGTATCATGTTTCTCTTTTATCTTAAAATCTACATTATAGAAAAATGGTCATTCAGTGAAAATATTTCTGATCTTTTATTAGTTTCGATAGGCTTACTGATTATGTAAACAAACACTCCTAAGATTAGAAAATTGAATGTCTGGAGATGGTGACTCTGTGGTTGTAGTTACATAACAAGTCTGTTGAAAAATCTAAATGGAAGTACGTTTTATAAAGAACATTTGCACGAGTCCCCATTTCTTTTTCACTCTTGTGATTGTGGGTACCTGAGCCAACTCGGGTGCACCTCGATTAATTCCACCTCATCCTATCTCGTTTAGTGTGAAAAAACTTGTAGGATATTTATTAGGTTGGTGGTGACCAGATTGACCATTAGAACATATTCAATGATTTAGTTTATATCTCATAATGATATATGAAATTCTCCCCACACTCCGATAAATCATCGCCCCGTTAGTTTATAAATCATTCCTATTATAAGACTAACCATTGCTAGTAATTTGTGTTCAATGCTAGAAAATCATCTACTCCTAAAAGTACACCTTGTATGTTCATTAAATTGTGATAATGCTGTAGTTAGGGAAGAATTTCATCTGAGCTAAGTTCCATCGTTCTTCTGTGGTCTATCTTTAGAAGGTGAACTAAGTGAGGGGACAAGTTTTAAGTTCCAACGGAGGTAGGGATGGGAGTTTGAACCTCTGATCTTTAAAAATATACAAGTGCCTTAACCTAGCTCGAGATGGCATATAAGAATCACTTTGAATAAGGAACGAAGTGTTTCATTAAGCTCTCAATGACGAAGTTGAATATTTGAAGAATAGTTATAAATAACTCCCAACAAGCATATTTTTTTTTTGTCTATAGAAATGTGACCTCTACCATGTGCTGCAGCAAAATACTGGGGTCTCGGATGAAGATTTTGTCTCTTACGTAACTAAATGGTGCGAAACTGGGGCATCATTAGTTGGAGGCTGCTGTCGAACCACTCCAAATACGATCCGAGCTATTTACAGAACCCTTTCAAAGAGATGAAGAAAACCATTCTTTGGAGTAACCGTTTTAATGTCGTTCAAGGAGCAACACAACATCTGAGGCTGCTAGGTGAGTTCAATTTGTTGTCCCTTGGATTCAGAAATATGGCAGAGTTTAGCAAATGGTAACCCTTTTCTTTCATTAAATTTGCTGGTAGGTCTTAAGCTGATGAATGTAAGGATGGTTTCATGTAATTTTCTAGAAATAAAATAATTATGGTTCAATCTTATGAATTGGATCACTATAGTTTGAGTTTAGTTTCAATTTGATCCCAATAATTTGTAAGTTAGTTTCAACACGGGGCACTCCATACGGAGCAAGCAAGTCTTGGGATAGTCTTATACTTTTTGAAGTTTCAATTTGATTCTTATAATTTAGTTAAACTTGAGAAATTGTACCTAAACCATTTTTACCTAAAAATCCACCAACTTTTGCCTTTTTTTACTCAGCCTTAAACTCTAACATAGTTAACCGAATAAAAAGTACCGTCTCATTACCGTGTTAATGAAAAATGTGTCACATGTTTGAAATGGTAGGAGCAAAGACCATTTGTAAAGTAAGACAAAACCGAGGGACCAAATTTAAAATTTTATAACTACAAGAACAAAATTGAAACTAAGTCCAAATCACAAGGACAATTAAAGCTTTTAAAATTATAGGAACACAATTGAAACAATGTCTGAATACCAAATTTGTAATTTAAACGATAATTATATTTTCAATTTACCGATTAAACCTCTTCTTTTTCTTGGGAAAGGAAATCTCTCTTTCGTTCTTTGATTCCATTTCAGGTCTTAAGATTAATAGAGGTAAAAATTTGCCTTTGGGGATTAAATATGAATCTTTCAAGTGTGATACTTCGCGTTCTTATCTAGCACTTCCTTATGGTCATAATTCGAAGAGTGTAGCCTTTTGGGCACTAGTGCTAGAATATATTCAAAAGTGTCTCTTTGTATAAAAAAGTCCTTTTCTCTAAAAGAGGGAGACGCTTATTTAGGGCGTTCAAAGAAACCGTGGAAGGCTATTTATTTTGTCTTTCCCTTCTTGTTTCGTTGAGGATGGTTCAAATATCCATTTTTGGGAGGACCACTAGATGGGAGTCTGTTCCACCTTTCTATTATGAAGTTTCATTAAGTGGCATCTATTTTGGCACTAAGGGGGCCATTGGTCTTCTATTTCTTCGGGTCTCGGTCGCCTTTGACGGACAAGTAGACTTTGGTGGTTGTTGTCTTGCTTCTTCTGCTTTTAGGGGCATTCCTTTTTTCCTTTGAGGGAGGAAGGATTCTCGAGTTTGGTCCTCTAACCCGCCCAAGGGGTTTCCTGTAGCTTTCTTCCCCTTCTATCTCGTTGTTTGTCACTTTGGAAGATTAAAATTGCAAAATAGATAAAAAGAAAAAAAATGTGTGGCCGGTCTTACATGAAAAAGTCAACACTTTGGATTGTATTCAAAGGCATTTTT